GACAAACTTGTTCAGGTTTAACTTCATATTATACTTTCTTAAAATTTGAAAAACATCATTTAAATCGTTTAGTAAAGAGTTCGAATATTGGGTCTTCACGATCATGTCATCAACATAACATTCCACTTTATTGCCGACCAATGACTTAAAAACTTTATTTACAAGTTGTTGGAACGTTGCCCCAGCGTTTTTCAAACCAAAGGGCATAACTTTATAATAGTATAGCCCGAGTTCGGTTATAAATGCGGTCTTGTCTTGGTCAGTAGGGTCCATCCTAATTTGGTTGTAGCTGGAGTAGGCATCTAGAAAACTCAGCAACTCGTGCCCCGAGGTTGCATCTACTAGGTGGTCAATTTTGGGCAGTGGGAAGCAATCTTTCGGGCAGGCTCTGTTCAGGTCAGTGTAGTCGGCGCACATGCGCCACTTGTCATTGGCCTTCTTCACCAGCATCAGATTGGAAACCCAGCTCAGGTAATGGACTTCCCTAATGAAGTCTGTGGCGAGGAGCTTCCCGACCTCCTCATTGACTACCCTCCACTGCTTTGGGGCGAGGTTGCGTTTTCTTTGTCTTACTTGTCAGACTAGAGGGTCTACATTAAGTTTATGATTTATTACTTTAGGGTCAATTCCGGGCATCTCCTCCGTAGACCAAGCAAAGATATCTAGATTTTTAAGTAAGAAACATACAAGTTGAGTTTGAAGCGGTTCGCTGATCAAGGCACCGATCTAAAGAGTTTTGGTCGGCTTGGTCTCAGAAATCGGTATGTGGACCATTTCTTTTGTCGGGGCAGCTCGCTCCTCTGTATGCTCCGTTGGTTGTTCGAGCTTGACGTCCTCCGCCAGGTTTGCCTTTCCTTTCAGGGCGGCCACGTAGCACTTACGGGATTTGCATTGGTCACCTTGCACGACACCCGCACCGTAATCAGTTGGGAACTTCATCTCTAAGTAATAGGTAGACACTGTCACATGTAGAACATGTGTGATAGATTGACCTATGATCGCATTATAGGGGGATGGAGTCGCGATCACCAGAAAAGTGTGCTCGAATCGTATGATGTTCAGCCACGTGCCTGCCTCCACTGGTACTGTGACCTAGCCAAGGGGTCTGACCTCTTCTCCGCTGAACCCTACCAAGGTTGCGCCTGTTGGCTTCAGGTTGCTCCATTGTAACTATAGCTTATCAAATGTCTCCTTGAAGAGGATATCCGTCGAGCTGCCCGAGTCCACCAGAATCCGCTTCACTTCGAAGTCGTTGATTTTGAGTTTTACGACTAAGGCATCATCATGTGGATACTAAATCCCACGCGCATCGTCCTCAGTGAAGTAGATAGGTTCTTTGAGTCGAGGTCGCTTTGGCAGGTTTTCGCCTTCACTTTGCAACTCACAGACCGATGTCCTCCCTGCTACCGATGTGCACCCGCAATGATGGACCCACCGGTGATCATATTGATCACATCGCGGACTAGTCTCTCCTCTGGTAATTGCCGAGGTGGTTGCTCGTTCTGCCTGCTAGTCTCGGGGGCATTCCTTCTCTGGTCTCCCTGTCAGTATCCTTGCCCTCTCTCTTTCCGCAAGATGAAATTCTTCAGGTACCCGCGACAGATGAGCTCCTTGATCTCATCGTGAAGATTCCTACAATTCTATGTGTTGTGACCGTGATCCCAGTGGAAGTGGCGGTAGACGTTTGGGTTTCTTGTTGCTGGATCTCCCCTTAGCCTAGGTGGCCATCTAACGATGGAGGAGTCCTTGATAGCTATTAGGATCTCTCCTCTCTTTGCGTTAAGGAGGTGTAGTTAGTTTACTCTACTGGAGGGGTCTTGGAACGCCGACCTGACTTGTAGCCGCGGAGGGGGACTTACTTCTCGAACGTGGGGATTTTGCTTCTTTTTCTGCTCGGGGGCTTACTTTTCTTTCTTTTTTGCTTGTCCCTTTGTCTTCTCTCTTCCTCTTTTCACCCGGCAGATTGTCAATCTTTTGGTTGATTTCCTCTTTGATGCCGATGAACTGATCAACCAACTTGAGGAACTCGGTGATGTTCTTCAGTTTGTTTGCTACCATATGCCACTTGAACTCTTTGTGGGTGATCCCCTTCTTCGTTGCAGTGAGGTGCACCACTGGATCGAGGTCTGGTATCTACAGGCACGTTTCATTGAAGCGCTTAATGTAGCTTTTAGTAGAATCTCCTTCCTTCTGCACCACGTTCAGAAGGCTCTCCTGTGACTTCGGGCACTTCTTACTAGTGATGATGTGTGCCATGAACTGGTCGGCAAACTTAGCCCAGCTCTTGGTGGAGCCCGATGTGAGGTTCCTATACCAGGTCCGAACTACTCCTCTGAATGTGGTGGAGAAGGCCATACACATGCAGGCTTTGTCAGCCCCAACGAGGTGCATCTGAGACTTGAAGGCATCCATCCACGTGGTCACTGGGGTCGAACAACCCATCACACTTGTCTAGCGGGGGGACCTTGAAGTCCTTTGGCATTGGGGCCGCTAGGAGCTCGGGTGACAGGGGGATGGCCGGCTCAGTAGAGCAGGCGCAGTCTTCGTCGCCATCGAGCTCACCTCTTCTCTTTCTTTGGTTTGCTTCACTGGCTGGCTAGGCTTTGCTGGTGGACTGTTTCTGGCTGAAGAGCGACGAGTTTTGTGACGATGCCATTGTTGCTTCTTCGTCGGCTCGACGTTGGTGCTACTGACTTCAGTCTGGTCTGGTACCTCGACCCTAGTTCTCTCACGCTCCCGAACACTGTCGCGAGGTGAATCGGGGTTCCTTCTCGCTGACTCCTCTTGGTTATGAAGCTTGCGCTGGTCATGGTGAGGCGTGGAGGGGGCTTGCCTTGAGTCTGCGCCCTAGGCTCCAAGCTGGTGATCTTCTCTCCGCGGCTTGTTGTTCTCAGGCCATGAGTGCTGCAGTTGGTTGGCTCTGTTGGGCTGGTTGACTTCAGGCCTGTCTCCCGGGTTCCCCCTCTGAGAGACCAGGAAAGTGCGTTGTCCGTCCGTCCTGCCTTGTGGTGGAGTCTAGTTCYTGGGGAGTATTGGTACCTGCGATGTCCCCTCGCCCCGATGGGTGAATCAGCGGACATCCTATGCGGATCTATGCAGGCTCGGGTGCAAGGGTGGAAATTGCCGCTGGTAGAGGAAGTATTGCTGGAACTATTGGACTTGTTGCATCTGGATTTGCATCGTCCGGACACATTGAACCAAGTCATCGAACTGAGAGTGCCCGACTTTGGGGGGAATCACAGATGGCTCTAAGAAGGCGGTGCCGACCTGGGTGAGCGGGATGCTCACTTGCGGGATGGTCTGCGGTACAAACAGTGATGGAACCCTCGAAACTGTGAGGGGAATGGTAAACTGACCGATACACACCGTGGGACCTTGAGGGAGATTTGATTGCTGATCTTGCCCCTCGGTGGCGATCATGTCTATACCTTTCCCAGTGTTGCTGGAAGAGTCCATTGATAGTAAGATAAAGGTTGGAATGACCTTTCGATCGATTCCACAAACAACACCAAATGATGGAGCACGGTCTGGATGCTCCTAGCTGGAGGATGATCTGGAACTTGGCTGCGTAGCGAGCTGGTTCAATCTACAAAATAGTGAAGCTCAAAGAACCCGAGATAGCTAACCCGACGATGTCACTCTGATGCTTAAGTTAGTATTGCGAGCTGAAAGTTGAATGATAAGTGTATTAGTGAGCAAATAATCGCGCATACCTGGGCCCTGGAGGGGTTGTTGCCCTTATATAGCTGAGCTGGCAAGGGTCTTACGAAACGGTTATGGGATATTCGGCCTGAGTAGATGAGATCCGTTTTTGCTTTAGTTGGGGAGTAACGTGTCACTTAATGAAGTCTATCGTCTCCACCCGATCTAGGCGGGGAGAGGATAAGGCCAGCCGTTACGCGGCGTAATCCCGTGAGGTTCAGAGTTCGCTGGGAAGCTTCTAGAGTCGATTACGTGCCACTTCGGTTCTTGGGCCTCGAATTGGATTAGGTATCGAGGTGCCTCTATGT